CCCCCCCCCGCTCTGTTCTCTCCCAGTGTCCTTCTAGGGGAAGCTGGACAGAGTCACTAGTGTTCCTGTGAGTGGAAACTGCCACAGCCTTAGGGAACAGTGATGATTCCGGACCAGGAACAGTCAGGGATGGAGATCGATACTTTTATTTTGATGCTGATGCTTGCACATCACAGATGCATTTCTCTGGAACCAGCAGGGTCCTACCAGTGTGAACATAACATCACACCAGCTCTTGTCCGTGTGTGCATGCCTATGTTTCTCTTGCACAGGTGGTAGAAAAACATGTGGATCCCGAAATGATGCTGCTACCATACCTGAGGAAGAACCGTATCCTTTGCTGTGTGCTGTGAGTGTGTGTGTGTGCGCGCGCATGTTCAGTCTATGAGCCTGTGAGAGTCTGTGTTTGTGTGTGAGAGTTTGTGGGAGTGGGAATCTGTGAGAGCATATGTGTGTGAAATTGTGAGTGCATGTATCTGGAAGTCTATAGCATGTCTTGAGTGTATGTGTATATGTTCTTGTGTGTGAATTTGTGAGGGATGTAAGTGTGTGGACAAGTGTGAGTCTTGGTGTACGTGTTTGAGATGTAAGATGTTTATGTATGTCTGTGAGTGTTGTGTGCATGAAGGGATCTATCTGTAAGTGTTTTGTGTGTGACTGTGTGAGAGTGTGTGTTTGAGTGAGAGTGAGTGTGTGAATGTGTGCATGCACGTAAATGTGAATGAGTGTGAATGTATGCCAGAATGTGCTAGGTATGTGTATGAGCCTCTCTCTCTCTCTCTCTCTCTCTCTCTCTCTCTCTCTCTCTCTCTCTCGTGTGTGTGTGTGTGTGTGTGTGTGTGTGTGTGTGTGTATTGGCGAGCCTCTGAGAGTGTGTGCAAAAGTGTTTGCAAGAGTGTTTGTGTATAAGAGTTTGTGGGAATGTGCAAGAGTTTTTAAGTGTGTGAATTTAGGCCTATGAGTATGTGTGCATGAGTGTGCCTAAATGAGTATATGTATGTGTGACTGGGTTTGTGTGAGAGAGAGCATTTTAGTGAGAGGGTCTGTGAATGTGTATATGTGAATATGCATGTGTACAAGAGTATATGAGTTGTATGAAAAATACTGTCCTTATGTGTGTATGTGTGGGTGTTTGAGTGTGTGTGTATATGAGTGTTTGAGTATATGTGGAAATAATGAGTGTATGGATGTGTGAGAGTTAAGTGTAATTTTGTGATGTATTTGAGTGTGTGAGTGGCATATTTGAGTATGTGAGTGTGTGTGTTTGAATGAGTGTGTCAGCGTGTTCTCTTAACCTCTGCTTTATCACTAATTGAGTGCTATGAGATGGAGAAGCAAGCAAGGGGAAGTAAAGAGAAGGACGTTGAAAGCATTCATTAAGCATCCTCTAGATTAACCGACAATATGTATACTTCATCTTCACTGACTGACGGTTATGCCATTGGAAAAAGAAAACATCGAAGTCTCCTGAGAGTAAATGAAAAATGGGTGCACGCCTTTAATCCCTGCACTTGGGTGGCAGAGGCAGGATGAGCTCTGTGAGTTCAAGGCCAGCCTGGGCTACAGAGTGAGTTCAAGGATAGCCAGAGCTGTTACACAGAGAAACCCTGTCTCAAACACCAAAAAATATAATGATGATGATGATGATAATGATGATGATAGAAGAGATTTGAGGGAATCAGCTGACAAGATGCAGACAAATAACTTACTGTGTTTCTAGTGTGACACAGATATTTCATAAAGTATTTATAATATAACATTTTGTGCATTTCCTCCAAGACCTACATAACGATGAAGGCAAATATACAGTGCACTCCCACCTGCAAATTCTCAAAATACTTACATGCATAGATTCTTCTTCAGTCTGGCCCTATTTTTGGCAGCCTATGTTCCGGCTTCATACAAAGGGTGGGTGCAGCCCGCAACGCACAAAAGGAAGCCGGAAAATACAAGACTGAAACAGCAGCCATTGGTGAATGAATCCACATTGAACTTTCCTGGGCGTGTCTGTGATGGTGTGACAGCCTAAGCCAGGGCTGCTCTGGAAAGAAACGTTCTCTTTAACTCAATTGCCTCCAGTCCGACTCACGGGGACAAAGTACGGCTGCGGAGGAGGAGGCTGTGGGGCCTGCACAGTGATGGTGTCACGATACAACCCCAGCACCAAGACGATCAGGTACCTCACCTCGGAGTCCAGCTATGAGTGAACTTTGCAGTTCTCAACTTTATTTTCCTCCTTCAGTTGGTGAATGTGTATGGAACATCAACTGTGTGGAAAGAACTATGCTGAGCACTAAGGATTCAGTGATAAACAACATGAATAGATTGAAAAATTACCCCCAGCAAAGAGTTTGTAGGTTTTTTTTTTTTTTTTAACTCTTTGGGGCCCATCACCCAACTAATACATGGAGACTTATTCTTACTTATGAATGCCTGGCCTTAACTTGGCTTGTTTCTAGTCAGCTTTTCTAACTTAAATCACCCCATTTCTCTTTAACTATGTTCTGCCTCTGGGCTTTTTACCTTTATTTGTTCTATATCTCTTTCTTTCCTTCTTACTCAGTGGCTGGCTGTGTGGCTGAGTGGCTGGCCTCTGGAGTCCTCCTCTCCTTCTCCTTTGCTCACTCCTCTGTCCTCTTCTCTGGAGCCTAGATTTCTCCTTCTATTTATTCTCTCCACATATCCCTCTCTCCTGCCTAGCTCTTGGCCATTCAGCTCTTTACTAGACAGGCAAAGTAACACAGCTTTACAGAGTTAAACAAATGCAACATAAAAGAACACAACACATCTTTGCATCATTAAACAAATACTCCACAGCCTAAACGAATGTCACACATCTTCAACTAGTATTCCACCACAGAAGGAAGGCTGCTATGAAATGACAATGGAGAATAAGGCCATGACCACACGTGTGTATTTAGAGCCTACTCACATCTCCTTGCTCCCGTACATGCATCCTCCATCTGTAAGCCAGAGAGCTCCGCTTCAAGAAGGAATTAGACGGCATCGCTCTCCTACTGAAATCCACCTGTGGTTTCCTATTTCGTTTACACGCTGTATTTCTCTTCACCGCATCATTGTTTCACGTATTTATCCGTTCCAGTCTCTCTCCCCTCTTCTTCTGGGACTCCACTTACGCACTGGTTAAACCGCTCTCCCCCTTCCCCACACTCCAGATGAGGTCTGGGATCTGAGCAGCACCAGGGCTATGCTGTGCTTACATTCCCTGGGAAACCTGGGAAACCTTTGCCTGCTTCCCAGCCTGGCTGCCAGATGTTTAGGATTCTGGAAGTTGTCTCCGGTCTCCTCTCTTACCGTCAATGCTTCAGGAGATCGTTGGCCTCCATGCTGCCTTGTTCTTAGCCCCTAAAGGGTAATGTTGTCATTCTACTCAATGAAAGCTTAGCGTTTCCTCTCAGTTCTGCCCATCATGAGCCTCTTGGTTTCGGAGCCTGGGGAATCTCCTCCAGCTCCTTCCTCACCTCCTCTCTGAGCTACTACCCCTCCCACTGAGCACCCAGTGCGCACTGGTGGGGAAGAGTCCAGCTTTGTGCATTAACCCATCATATCCGCCCACGTGTGACCACTAATGGTTTCCTGACAGTCACTCTGGTTTCTTCTTACTCTTGCACAAGGAGGACTCTTCATTTTCCTTACATTTCAGAAACACAGCAACTGAATCTTAGGGCTGAGAACAACCGTTCATATATCTTCTCTCTTATTAAGATTTGACACTTAATAGCGTGTAGGGTTTTTAAGCTTCACCATGCACTCAGTATGAGATTTTATATATATATATACACACACACACATATATATACACACACATATACTTCATTTATATATATAAAATGTTTTCAATGTATACATTTTAAATATATGTACATATATACAATGTTTTGAATTTTTCAGAATGTCATACATGTATACAGTTTATCTCCATCATATTCACCCCCTCTTCTCCTCCTTCCTTCTGGGTACACCCCACTCCCAACTCCTATTCTTTTTCACAACCTGCGGAGTTCAGTCTGTGCTGCTCATGTACTCACGGGTGTGCGGTCATCTACTGGAGCATGGTCGCTCTCCACGAACCACACCCTGAAGGAACCTGACTCGCCTTCCTCCAGCAGCCATCAACTGTCATCAGCTCCTGAGGAGAGGAATTCTTTAAATGTGATTTTGTAGCTTTTCTGGCTTATTCTGATTTTAAAGCAAGATGTCTTATGATTTGTTACCTTTAAACTCTGTGGTTGGGCACATTTAGGCCAATGTTCAAGTTCACCTTCACTGGGAAGCCCTGTCACTTGCTCCCTGGGACCTGCCTGGGTCTAGCCTTGGCTACCGACCTTCTCCCATGTTCCCTGTGCTTCACTCTCACAGACTTTCCTTCTGTCTCCTCCTCTTTGTAGACATCTGAGCTCAACACTTCAGGACCCACGCATGTGCTCTGTCTGCCTTTTATGTTGAACTCTTTCAGATCATCTAGATTTTAGCAGAAGCGTTAATAGTGCTACTCCTCCCTGATTACCCACACAAGTTCATTCTCTTCCCCTCCATTCACTATTCATAGTTCCCATTCATTTATCTGCAGTCCTCTCCATTCACTTATTCTTAAGTCCCCATTCATTTATTCACAGTGTCCTCCATTTATTTTCAGTACTTCTTACTACCTCGATGGACTTGAGAGTTGTCTATCTCCCCTCACCTAGAATGCTCACTTTGCTGGGGTTGACTTGTCTCTGGTCGCTGGTGAATCCCAATGCCTGCAGTTCTGCCTGGCACATAGTTCGTCACCCAGTATTTATGTTTACTTATCAATAAGTGATATCTCTTCAGTCCCTTATTTTTAACAAATGGAAGCAAACTTCATATATTGCTTGAACATCCTAATTTTTGTTGAATTTTTATGAAGGTCTTTCAAAGAATAAAGTCAATGCAATAGCTTTGTATGTTACATCGTTTTGAAGTGTCAAAACAAACCCCCAAATAGGGAATTATTTTTAAGCATTCATCAATAAACCTTTCTTACAGACAGTGTTTATGTCCATGACCATTTACTTATGGCACAGCGACAGAGGTGTACTTGCAGAGTTAAAGAATGTTCATTTTAAAGTGATTTTTAGGTCTTTCAAATCAACTGTCTCCCGGAAGAACTCCGAGAGAGTGCATTTACACTCTCATGAGTGGTAGGAATCCCATTTCCCCAAGCCTTTTTAAATATAGACATTATAATGTTTTGAAAACATATAGTTTTGTTTGACAAAATGGTGTTTCTCCTTGTTTAGTTCAAGTCTTTGCTGGTTATCATGGGCTTTGAATATTTGTCTCTTGTGTCTTTTTCCACCCGTAGTTGTGGTTAGTAACTGAGAACATTTTAAGTGTTGTTTTGAAGTGGGCATTTTTAGCAGTGGTCCTGTGGAGAGGAAGAGCTCTTCACCTGGCGCTAATTCTTCTTCTGAAGAGCAATACCAAACTCACTTCACTGCCCAACCAACCTCGGCCCAGCTCCCCCCACAGGGTGAAAGCTGCCTTAGGTTCATAGCCAGTTATGCGTGATTAGAGAGCATCAGCCCCGGTTTGAAAGGAAAATAATTAAGTTGGTGGAAGCTTTCAGGAATCGGAATGCTGAGGTCTAATTTTAATTCTGCCACTGGCAGTCCAGCTGCGACCCTGAATAAATCACTCTGATTCTCAGATCTGTTTCTGTGAAATGAATATGTGCTGAGAATGAAACACGGATTCAGAGCCTGGGACATCACCCCTGACCTGTCTAGGAGAGGTGCCCCGGGGAGGGGGGGTGTTCGGTCCCCCTTTCCACTGGATGTCGTGGAATTTGTCATCTGTGCTTCTCTTTTGCGTTCCGAAGGCATCATCCAGTCAATGCCTGTCTGACCCCCATCTGCTCTCTGCACGGAGCGGCAGTCACCACGGTGGAAGGCATAGGCAGCAGCACCACCAGACTTCATCCTGTCCAGGTGAGGGTGCGCTGTTCCCCTAAAGGGACTCTGGGAACAGGAAGTCTGGGCCCTGCTGCTTGGTCACAGATGATAGTTCAAAGCCACGGGAGCTGAGAATAAAGCTGGGCTGCTGGGATGTAGGAGTAACTCACTCCTTGGGAAGGTGCTTTTGGAAGACTAGAGGACTCCCCTTTCCTAAGGAAATGCTGCCATGACCAAAGCTCTGATTCCTCTGGGTTCCAATTAGAGGGTACCATCCATCTTGCGTCTTCCAAACCCAGAAGGAAACACCAGCCACGTGCATCGACATATACAATTTTGGGGTTGTTGTTGTTGTTGGAAAGTGAAAAATAACTTGATTTAAAAACTGAATTAAAAATATCAGCTCCTCCCCCCACCCCCCACAAAAGATGTGTTGAGCTTGGACTTGTCAGAGGACAGGCTCTGTCCATGGAGTCTGTAGCCTCGTTCCCCAAAACTAGACCCCTTATATCAGTGCATATATGCATTGTCCCCCCACCCCCGCCCCACCCCACCCCTGCCCCCACACATGCCATTGCTCCTTGTCTTGACTGAGGGCCATGGATGAGGAGTGGACAGAAAGGGTACAAGATAGGAGCCACATAGAAAAGAGCCAAACTTCACCTTCTGTAGATGTGATAAAATTTGGGGTTTAATGTTCTCAAACCCCATTAAGCTAAAGAATGTTGCTGCCTGGAGAGCCTACGTATGGGACTTGAGCCCACACAGGCAAGGGGCCCTTTTCATTTCCCACCAATGCTGAGCTCTCATTGGTGCAATGCTGCCGGGAGGCGGCGCCAGAACGTACTTGTCCCTTGGAAGTCAGTCTCCAAAGAGAAAACAGTGGGGACAGAAAAAAGTACAGGAGAAATAAAGGCAGGATTTCTGTCTTGGTTGGATCCTCGGTTCCAGTGCTTTGTAAACTCCT